ATCTTTGCATTCTAAAACACTGTTGTATGCAACATTGTAGAATTTTTACATTGTGTCACAGTTGCATCAGACCCTTATTTACTTACAGTCACTATTTCCCACACCCAAAAACATCCCCCCTGCTGAGCGTCATTGCATGCATTGCCTCATGTATTTCTTAACTGCACAAAGGGTAATGTTTTACGCCACCTCAAAAACCTGTGGATAGACCTCCTTGAAATTCATTAAACAGATAGTCCTCAGGCAAATTAATAATTGATTCCATCCTCGCTGTGATCTGGGTTGGGGATTTTCCATCTTTACCCTATTACCCTACTTAGCAACTACAATCAGAATTGTTCTTATCAGCCTGATAGAAAAGTGCCATGGATCCAATTCTCACGGGCTTGTTTCCAGGGTGAGAAAACAGTTCAACCCAACACTTTAAAAACAGGGACACTATCTGTTGGCATAGCCTCAGTTGTTTTGTTTTAACCTGATTTTGTGTTCTAATTCCATGGCTGACAGTATTGAGAAAAATAGATTAGAGCAGATGGACATCTGATGCCGGATATCTCTACTCCTGCTGATACACGGTGACCCAAAGCGTTCTTGATGGAAAAGAAAATGAACAAGTGTCCAGAGATAAGGAGGTTCAAGCTCTCTAAGGGTGTTGCTGCAGAAGCACTCTATGTAAACACACACAAATAAAAAAACAACAAGATATATACATGACATGCATTGCAATTTATATAACCACAGAGCTAAAATGTGAGGTTCTATCTATATGCTTTAAAGTGATATTCAAGAAGTTGTTTACCGGTTTGTTGTCTGTTTGTGTACATTATTTAGTGCAATAATAACAAACACCAAACCTAATGTTCATCCAGATTGATTACAATTACCAGTGACCCTTACAGACCAAATGTTAATCTAGGTTTAGGTTTTCTTCATAGCTGATAAACGTTTAGTTATGGCAACAATGGGACAAAAGTCAGTTAAATTATTTGTCCCACAGCAAATATTCAATACTCAGGACAGACAGATGCTGTCCTTTAACTGCCTTTTCAAGTAATAATTGTTTTTCAAAGAAACAACTGGACTTTATTCAACTTCTTCAAGCAAGAAAGACATTTAACATCTCTACTTTGAACAGAATTACCGAGGCTGTAAAGCAATGGGATAATTTTGGATTCTTACTTATTATTCAACAGCATGAACAATCTTGCCACACTTGCTTTTGTATGTTAATGGGACTTTTCTATGCAGATAAAATATATACCTTTCATTTCTTAGAAATAGGATTTGCATTTGAATGGCTTGTAAAAAAAATGTGTCACTCAGTGTAGCAATTCTTATATTTCATCATGCATCTTTAGACTCATACCAATGTTTTTAGTTAAAATTTAATGAGATCAATGATCAACAGAATGTGAAACACAGCTGCATTTCCAGTCTCTAAAGCTTCTCTGCTCTGCCTCATATTTGCTCTTTAATCTATTTCCTCTACTTAAGGGCTCTGGTGTAGTGATTAGTTTACTTAGGAAGGATATTCTAATTTTTTTTTTTGCAATGTGCTATTCAACAAATTCATATAATCCCTGAATAACTATTACCATAATAGATAGGAGTATGGTTTCTCAGTGTGGAACTGTTGCAACTCCATTTTGTTGCCTGTGCTCACCACTAATAGATGTTCAAAACGGCTTTGGGGAAAAAAATGTTTAAATCAAAGATTAAACATGTTTTTCTTCAATATATACTGAAGGACAATCGTACATTTATATATCCAAGCCTTGTAATGTAGGAAAATTGAAAAAAAAAATGTAAAGACTGTTTTATTTGTAATAATCTGACTCGACGACACAGATGTCTAAGAAACCCAAGGGGTTACATTTTCAACAAAGTATGGAGAAATACACGGTACAAATGTGTTTCTATTTGTATTACCCAAATTATTACATAACATTAATATAGCTGTCATGGTGAGAGAAACATTGTACTTAGATTTGAAGAACACAATGATAATCTCTAATTTGATATCTGCATTTTCATATACACTGTAAATCTTTTCAATTACAGCCAGGTGCTATAAACACCTTAAATTGAGTCTCCACAGCCATGCTTTGGAATGTTATTCAATTTTAGACTGCTGCTCTTTGAATCCCTACAAAATGTGTTTCCCCAGCAACAGGAAGACATGGCAGAGAACTCATTTTGTACTATCACTGTTCACCAGTTTTACTGGCCTTTACTGACAGTGTAAAGGGATGACAGAAACAAAGGGGAAAATGAATTAGTAAGACAATAAGAAGAATAGCCATTTCAGTTGAGAAATGTAACATACATACCAATAGAATCAGATGACAAACAGACCCCTCAGGGATATTTTCTGAAGCTTGAGGCTGCCGACTTCACACAGCTCCTGCCTTGATTCTGCTTCATTGACTGTAATTGTTTATTCAGTGAAAAAATTTAAAATGCTCTAATGCTAAATGACTTTTTCTTCCGAATTTAAGAAGGTATTGAACTCAAAAGATGTTGATTGTTGCAAAGGTTTATACATTTGTGCAAAAAAGCCTTTACAGGGCCATGGACCTTATTGATTTTCATTTGAGGTATATTATGTCTTCCAGCGAGGCCAATAAAGCAGGAAGCTCTGCTGTACATGTGTTCCTTTCTTTATTAAAAATGTGAAAGTTCTAACTGATCTTTGTGCATATTTTGTATATAAGAAAATGATTGTTCAAATGAAAAATATTCTTAAAAGGAAAATCACTTAAAAGCAGGCATAATGCAAATAATATGAGTCTGGAGTGGTAGTAAAACAATTCATTTTCAATTCAATGCAACACATATTTGCATATATTTGTTATAGGACAGTAAGTTAGTACTATGAATAAAAAAACCTGAAAGAGGCAGTCTCAGAAATAAGCATCTATATGTGAAACATATTTGAAATATTTACATATGATGAAGCAATCGAAAAACACAATATAGATGTAAATTGCAATGAAAGTATAATCATCTACACTACATACTATTATCACAAGTTTACAAGGATCTGAACACATCCGTGTGCATGGGATGTGGCCCAAAGTCAATGTTAGTGTCCAGGATTTCTGCAAACTCTAGGACACTGCATTGTTGCCTTTGAAAATGTTAGCACAAAGGCCAGAAAGGATTCTAAGTCATAAAACTTAGAATCCTTATAACAAGGGTAGAGATGTCTTCATATCAACCCTACTTTGTGAGAAACAAGATAAATGAGGCAGCATGTAGTATGAACTGCCCTCAGTATAATAAATATTCATGAATGTGGCCAAAGATGGAGAAAATTCATTGAAATATCACAGAGACATAGTGGGTCTACTTGTTCCTTTGGCCAGCTTAGCCACATAATCAGTACCACGGCACCTCCATATAGGACTGGTTGTGGGTTGGACAGCACATCCAGTAAGAGCTTAACAAAAGACCATCCAAAATATGGAGAGAAATGCATATCCTTAGTCCATTTTATAAAGATCTACAGATCCCTCCCCGTGCTATGTCTCCAAGGGAATTAAATTCTTTAAGATCTCAGTCATGCCTGTATTAGTTCCCACTCCGTGCTTTCATTGCCTGTGGATTGTGTAGGCTTGCCCCATGTGTGGTTGTGTTGGCATGGAAACAGGAATGGCATTATGAAGTGTATTGAATTTTTCACCCTTGTCCCTTGGGTTCTGCACTAAGGAAAGTATGACACCAACCTTTCCCCACTTACTGTACAAGACAGAGTAGAGCAAAATCTTTCCAAATATCAGTCAACACATACCTCAGAACTCTCCAATGTCTTTGATCCTGCAAAGTGAGAGCACACATTTGTCAGATTAACAGAAGACCTCATCTTCAGGCTCTTTTTTTTATTTCTAACAGTCTAGCAGAACAGTACAGTAATAATTTAAAACGTTTTGCTCGTGTCATTTTGTGGACTGTAGATGTGACACTGAACTAGAAATATTCTGCAAGCAGATTGGACATGTTTCTTTGAACACAAAATTAAACAAACTGTCCCTACTGGTTTATCTTTCATCAACAACACAGCTCCCTTGTGGTACATAACTATTTCTATTGAGAGATGTATAATGAAAAGAACGAGATTCAGCCAGTGTAGTCTCAGGAATCGCGTGTTTCTTAAACAAAGACAAAGGCTTGTTGTCACCATCTAGTGGTAGCACAAATATAACTTCACAAACACCCACATTACATAGTATTTTCCCAAATAAAAACACAGATCAGTTTAAAAAGTTGTCACATTTACTTTTATTGTAAAGGTGATATTCCAAAATATTAATATGTTAGAGGAACGGAGATAAAGAAAACAAGGGAGATATACGTCTATAAAACATCTACACAAGACTTTGGTAAGAATCTTGGAACAAATTCTTATTTAAAAAATGACACTGAAAAAAATAACACATTTTCTAACAATGTTCAAATCATAAAGACGTCAATCAAGATGCATCTACATGTACAACAATATAGCTGGGTAGAAAATTGGCCTTTTTGCGCCCCAGAAACAACTAAACAACTGAAGGCATTAAAAACACTGGAATGGCTGGACATCTGTGCTTTAAAGTCTGGAATACATTTAACTACTTAGGGATACCACAATAAAACGGTTATTTATCTTGTCATTAAATCAGTTTATGGTTCATAATATTTTTTTAAGATATAATATACCACAACAAGTTTACAGTAATGTTGCAAAAGAGTTATGTGTATCAGAGCTAGTTTTAAAGCACAGCAGAATCAGGGAAGTTTAAATCCAGAGTTTTCTAGAGATCAGAAAAGTGTATCCTCTCTTAACAACTAAACACCTGCACTTAGCTCTGGATTTAACCAATGCTGATTCAAGAATGTGTAACGTCAGCCCTAAACAGAGTGCATTGGATCATTGTGCGACAGTGTGTCCTGTGGGAAGCCCCACTGTCATCCCGTGTAAGCCCTCATCCAGACCACCCCATTCCACCCCCCCCTTCCTAACAGGGGTGCACATTGCATGCTCTGATCTCCTTCCTGTCTTTGCAGCTGGACAGCTGGGCAGTCTTAAACTTCTGCTTCACTGTCATGAGCCGTTCTTGAATACCTCCACCACATAGCTTGGTACATTCCGTCCAGCTTGACCATGGTCTCATTCTACACCCTAAAAGATAAGAAAAAAAGGAAGGAGGATGAGGATAAAATATGTGTGTTGTTGTTGTAAGCCATTGTCAGATGGAGGGTTACTAACCCGGGTGCTCTGATGTTCCCTCGGCTCTATCCTGTTTGCTCCTCCGTTTCTCACGCTGCTCCTTGCGTCTCCTCTTCTCGTCACTGTTGCCTTGTCCTCGAGTGCACTTCCTAATCTTACATTTCTTTCTTTGGATGGTTTCAGAGCAGGGGTCTCCGCCAAACTGAGGTTCCAGCATCACAATGCGAGTCCGGATTGTGTGACCTTTCCCACAAGACTTATTGCACTCTGACCACTCGGTCCACTCTGACATGGCACAGTCAATGGCTGAGGATAAAGAAAGAGGGAGATAAGCTCAAATAAAGCCTGGACAAAAAAGTGACCTTGTGTGCATACAGATGGCATAATCCTGAAGGAGAAACATTCCTGTTTGCTGAGAAGCCTCATTTCCTACTAAAAGGAGTACATTTTTTCTTGACTTTATTCTCAAAAATCTTCTAAAGAAATGTGCTGTTCAGATTCAATAAGTATGCTTAAACCGCAATTTAGCTGTGTTATAAGGCTGTGGGGCTATGTGAATATTGCTATATATACATATACACACATAAATATGTATATATATATATATATATATATATATACACACACATGTTGATGACACAGTATTATGGTTATTTGAATCATCTCAAGTCACTTAATTACATTTTATTGTTATTTCCACAGCTATCTGAGGAGCCACAGAGTTAAACTCAACAGAGATGAACCTCCATGGGTACACTCACCCTAAGGCTAAGAATCGATGATTCAATGTTCTTCACTGGAGTTTTAATTCCAGCTCAGATTTTAATTTACTCTGTTAAACTTGAAGAAAGAACAGCATATACCAAATTAAGCAGGATCTTGGATGATGTAATAGGAACGATAAATAAAAGAGAGGTGCTGCAAACTAACTTGATTATAATTGGTGTGTAAGTGTGAGAGTGTGTGTCAGCATCAAGGATTCCAGCTTCATTAAAAAAATATATTACCATGAATTACCATAAATTAAAGACCCACATGTTCAGTGTGTGGGTGTGTGGATAAGAATGTTTATTACTTACGACACTCTGGTAGCATGCACTTCTCCACCTGTTCCAACTCTTCTATACACTCTCCTAGTTCCACAGGTGATTTCAGCATGCGCTGCCGTGTCCTCAAACCCTTCCCGCATGTCACACTGCAGTCACTCCATTCAGACCACGGAGTCAGCAGGCATGGGATTGTATCTATTCAAACCAGAATCAGTGACTCATTGCTAGGAATCGTATAATATGCAGAAACACGGGAAAATGCAAAATAGCTTTAGTCATTGATTTACCAACAGACTTGAATGTGTGGAGGGAGTTGTGGTAGCAAAAAAGTACAAACTCACGACATTCTGGCATCATGCACTTTTCCACTTCTAGAACCTCGGCCTCACAAATGGAGCCATCGGCAGGAGGCATCTTCACCATGCGCTCCCTCCTCTTCATGCCGAGACCACATGTAGCACTGCAGACATCCCATTCGGCCCACTCTGTCACCAGACAGCTGCTGGGAGCTAGGTTCAAGAAAGACATATAAAGCAAATATCAAAACGCCGATTGTGAATCGTGTGTTCATCTGAGTTTTAAGAAATAGCTCAAAAAGGGGAAACTCACAGCATTCCTCATTAACCACACAGTTCTCAGTCTCTTCTGTGGGAAGAGTGCACACTGAACCGTCATCTGGGAACTGTTTAACGTACCGCTCCCGAGAGCGTGTGCCCATTCCGCAGGACAAACTACATGGAGACCAAGTGATCCATTCTGACATCATACAAGTGGAGGCATCTAAAGAGACAAAAACGGTCATCAAGTCCTTGGGCGAGCTGTTGCTTTGAATTGAAACAATATGAAATAATGAAGATACATAAATCATTATCAATCCATACAATACTCAAGTGAATAAATGCAGTTAGACCAATTTAAAGATATCATGAAAGATCCATTGGTTTTTCCCATTTATTTTACCTGCATCTAAAAAAAATGCCATAAATAACGCAGGTAAACAGACATGAAATTGTGTTTTTGAAAGAACAGTGTAGTTTCCAAAGACTTATTGCCTGCAAACAAAGCATAGCTCAAACATAGTGTGAGCTCTTTACAAATATTGGCTTGGACCTATGTGCTTTAGAAGACTATTATCTACAAGTTATGTCCTTGAATAAAAAGATCCAGCTAAGACTTCACACGGGAGTACAGAGATGTAGTTCGCCCTACAACTGATCCATCAGTTGTGGACTCAAGCCTCATCAGAAAAGAAGGGTGGCTGTAAATAAATTATTTGAAAGCAGGAGAAACGGGAAGAAACATCCACATATGATCTTTGAAGCCAGGAGAAGTATTCTTGACGATATTTTGAAGAAATTACAAGACAGCTTGTCTCAGAGGTTTCGGGGCTGTATTAAAGAGTATAGGTGGGAATATCTATTGATATCTATCCATTTATTGATTTTCAAGCTTGATGCAACTGTACACTTTAATTTCTTTATTACTGTATTGTCCTTCAAATTAATTTCTCCTGGCAATGTTTAAATAATCAAAAGAATAAAAATGCTTTCAAATATAATATATCTATAAGTAATAGCATTTATGCATCTTAGATTTTAGGATGTTGTCGTTTGAAAAGAGGCAGCGTATGGAGGCAATAATTTGCAATTTGACAATTTTAAATGGAAAAACCTACCCGATTCTGCAGTCAGACTTTCTGCAGTCAGACTTTCTTACGTGTAGATTACATGTAAATTACCCAACAAGGCGCTTTTTAATATCCAAAATCATGTAAAACCTGATTGTAGTTTGCTGAAATAATATTTTTCAAACATCTTCTTGCAAGTAAATATAAGTAGATGAGAAATGCAAATTAAATTGGACTTTTAGAGCACACTGCAGATGGCTAAATAATATAATAAATCTGTTACAATTGACAACTTTGCACTCATATATCCATCAGCAAACAGTTGCCAGTAATTTACTGTTAGAAGCCTGGTAAACAAACACAGTCTCTCACATTAATCCAGATTATGTTGTGCACACTACACCCACCAGCTATCTGTCTCTCCAGAAAGAAATATGCCACCGCACATGGAAAGAATAAAGATGACATAACATGGATGTGAAAATACATTCTGCTCCAGATACCTCTGTTGGTGTGTTTTTTTCCTTGCTTCTCACCATCATCCACCCCCTTCTATCTCAGTTTTTACCTCAAACTCCCGACTGTACTAAATAGTTAATTAAAGGTGAAATGGACAAAGAGGACATTCTGCAAGAAAAATAACAGTTTATCCTCAAAGACTAAATCACTGTGGCAGCCATGTTTTGATTTGGATTGGACTTAAAATGATAGGGTGTCTGTCACCTTCTGCTTCAATATGAAATTCAATAAGACCAATGGTTTCTAAAACAGATACAACTTAAGAATGTGTGAGCTTGAACACTTCCTCAGCTTTGCCTGGAAATCTATGTATGGGTGTGAAAATTGAACAGCTGTCAAGAGTCATTCAGAAATATTTTGCTAAATAAAATCAGAAATTTGAAATATAGATATGAAACCTTATTATTATATACAAATGTTACCTATGATGTAGCTCTGTTGTCTTCAGAAAGGAGTTAAACTTTTGTTCACTAAGGTTTTTACAGAGTGGTAATGATTTTTTTTCTTTTCCCCTTTATGAAGCACAAATAAATTAGTTTTAAAAAGGATACAAATATTTTGTTTTATGTTTTTTGCCACCCTCTGCAAAAAGTCAAGTATATACGCACATCCTTCTGTGAGTCAACAGTACCAGCCACCACGCCACCGGGTGGCCGCAGTAGTTTTTTTTATTATCATTTCCTGATAACACTTTTTTTGTACATTCTTAGATACTCACCCTCATCACTGCATCCAGGCCCCATGCATGGCTCAAAATCCTGAGTGTGTGGACAGGGAACACTCAGGTCCAACTGGGCCTTCAGCATCCTCTGCCTCATCCGTTTGCCTTTGTCACAAGTAGCCGAGCTGCATGCAGACCATGGAGACCAGTTGGAGTAGATGCATGTTTCAGGAGTGTCATCTACAGGATGGAAAGTGTCATTAACACAAAAATATAAGCCTCAACATACGTTTGTGCGTATGTGTGTGTTTGTGTGCATGACTGTGAAAGTAGGAAAAAGGATTCATACCTTCCTCTTTCTCTTCCTGTGCAATATCTGCAACAATGTCGTCCACATTATCAGGAACAATGTTGCATTGTTCCCCCTGATGACACAAACCATCATTAGTATAGTAGTATTGACCTCTCTGGAAACCACAAAATATAGGGAATGAAAAAATTTGATAAGTAAATGTGTGTGCATTATCCATTTATGTTTGCTGGACTGAATATAAGTCGTGCTCTCATGTTCTCACAGCAGCCTCTAGATGCCACTGAAGGACTGCTTATCTTTTCTCCTTTTCTGGTTTGCAGCTGGAGACCCAAGACAATTTCATTTGCATCAAAATTCTAACCATAAAAAAAAGCCACAAAGATACTCTTTTTCAAATTTGGCATCAAAGTATGGTAATGAGAAAAAAGAATCAACATCCTATTGGGTTTACATGGCATAGCACACGAGGGGCTGTGTTATGTTTCCCCCTGATGTGTGCTGGGCTCAGGTCCACCACAGGCCAGGGAGCTGAATAGTTCAATGCAGTATCTTAGCTGTTCTTAGCTTAACTGACCACTTACGGATGGCGATCTTTGATTGTTTCCATGATCTCCTGAAGTCACTCTCCCAGTTTGGGGTCACAGCCCCAAGTGCTATGTTACCACTTCTTCTGCTCCCTTAAATTCCCACATCTTATCAACTATCTCCTTCAGCTTTTGGTAAATTCATTCTACACCTGGGAACAGTCGGGTGTGGTAGACATCTCTTGTTCCTGTTCACAGGGCGTCTTCTTCAGCTGCCAGGATCAACACTTTCATTCTGCATCGTCGGCCTTTTCTGTTGGTGGTCCATGCCTATCGTTCTACCATAGTTCCTCATCTTCATCCTTACCTCTTCTAAGTTTTACCAGCACAAGAAACCCATTTACCAGTTCATAACCAGGGGCCGTCTTTCTGATGTATTCCTGTATCTTTCCTGTTTCATCCTGAAAAGTGGCTCTGATGCTCAATAGTTGTGAGCCTAGCTTTCAGATCCACATGCCAGGGGGCATGGGGGTGTTGTTAGTTGCTGCTCTCTCTCTTATATGGTCTATCGGTACTATTCAGTCTCAATCCCAGGTGGGTTTCTTCTCATGTTATTACCCTGCCACCAAGGAACACTTTGGATGGTTCAGTTGAGAACTCCTTTTCCTTAAATCCTAGCTTAAGCTTCTCTTGTGTGCCTTCTCAGGTAGGAAACCATGGCTGTGTTTCAGGTATGAGAAGTCTTTTAGATATTGCATTCTTCAATCTTGAAATATTTTTTTTTTATCCCACAATATATAATCAATATACAAGGTATGCAATCAGTGAAGGCCAACTTATCTGGCAGGAATAAATCCAAATTTGTTCCCACGAATTGATGGTAAATGAAAGGAAAAGCTTCTTCATATTTCTTTCTCTTTCTCTGAGTAGTTCACAATCACATCAATCCACAGTCTGTCACACATGATGCCACCGAGTGTCAAATTTAAGTGCAGAGAAAAAAACAATGACAATCGAAAATTCTGTCTTTTTTTTCTTTAGCCGTTGATAAGACGGTGTCCCTCGGTCACCCTCTGCTGTAATCTAGATCTTTAACCATGTGTTTGAGCTTTGAGACATCAAACACTTCAACATGTCTGCATGCTTACTGCCATTAGATGGAATATGCTGTTATCAAAGCCACAAATTATTGGGATTCTCTACAAGATCTGCTTTGTACAAATATAAATTCAAAGGACAAACAGACCTTTCTGGCAATGCGTTCCACCACCACTCTAGCCACAGGAACGATAGCACCTCCCTCAGGATCATAAAATGGGCTTTGCGGATGATCCAGACTGGTCAGTGGACGGATCTTGTCCTGGGGCACTGCTGGTTTGTTGGGAGACTAAAAGAACCACACAGAGAGTTAGAAAAACAGAAAGAGAGAGAGAGAGAGAAAGAGAGAAGATATATGGGCCACAAAGCAGTGGAACTTTGGGATTTCAGAAATAACACAGTGTCAGGATATTTTTTGGGAAAACAGATTTGTACTACTATAAATGCCACAAAGACATTCAAAGTTACACAAAACAAAAGCCAAAGGTAGTATAAGTTTCAAAGTCATTGAGAAGCTGTGGAGGAACAATATACTTTATAGGGGAGATGCTCTTTTTAGTCAACAGTAAAGGTCTGCCAGCAAGGGGTTGATAGAAGCAATGCCAGAGGCAGTGTGGAGGCAGAAGACCATTCCATTCTTCACCCCCCAACTGTGGCCATTCAGAAAAAAGAGAAAAAGTAACACAGTTTGTGTCTATGTGAAAGAAAAAAATAGGGGACAAGGGTAGTCAGTGCCCAATGATTAAAAGATACAGTTAAAGTAATGACACCAAGGATAGATCCCATTACTCCGTTACAGGCCTGTGCTTTTAATGACTTTGTAACAGAGAACCAAAAGCCCTTAAGTTTATGATAGCCACAGTTTCCCCACCCTATTTCCCACAATGTATTTTTAAGAGATGTTTTTTTTAACCGCATTGACAAGCCATTTACTCAGAGCATTTTCATTTAACTTTATTCGTATTTAACATGATGGCATCTTCGTGATTTTAGCAGTGCAGTGACAAAGCTCTTGATTTTGTAAAAGCTTTGTGCATTATATTCCCACAAGCTTTACGCAAGATTTATTCAGGGTTTCCCTTTGAATCACTTTGTCTCGGTTTTTATGGACATGTCTTTGCAACAGTTCACTGGATGATGGTATTATTCGCTAGAACCGGATAGAACCTAAAATTATTTGTACCATGAGTGCGTGATGAACAATAAATGCCAATAATTTTGGTGTCTGGATGGTTTAATGCAGTGATGATTAACTCTAAGTTAACACTTGAGAAAAATGGGAAAGGTGATTTAATCTATCAGGCATAATGTCTTTTTTTCCCTTTTTTTTCCTCCCCCTTGTCATGTTTAGCATTATGGCAACAGAATTGTAATCTGAGTACCAGCATAATATCTTTCAAAATGAAGACAAGACTGCAATACAAATGTGTGTCTCTGTGCGTGTGGAGTAGAGTTCAGTGGGTTCATCTGGTCGCCCTGAAGGATCAGCCAGAGGTTTTACACATGTGGTCACAATACAGACAACCAGTCTGTTAGTGCTGACTGGAGAACACAACAGACAGCACATCACTATGAGAGAAGTGTGGGGAGGAACTTGGTTCGAAGCCGTTACTGGATGACTGGGCAGCCGATGACACACAAATGTTAGTAAGTACGCAGTATGCAAAAAGTTTTGAAGTGACTGTGAGCGTGGGTGGACAGCCTGCTGAAGAGAAAGTGGTTGGTATAACGACAGGGCCAATATGTGTGTGAGGGACAGCCTCAGCTGGTGATGAGTGCAAAAAAAGAATGGTATGTTTGGTGGAGAGAAAAAAAAGTTTACAAAAGACTTGGGCATTGTGTAGTTTAAACATTAACTAAGTCAATATATAATGGGAGTTGTATAAAAAAGATGTCTCAACCTGTTTCAAATGGACATCATGTAGGTAATGTATTTGAAAATTTAAAGTTTTTCATATGAAGTTATTTAATTCATAAATTGTATTTAAGTTATATAAAATTAGAATACTTATGTAATTTATACATAGTCTGTCAGATGTTTATTCCAATTAGTGTTTAAGAAATTCTAAATTTCCATCGCCTTGGAGATATGACAAGGACACTTTTCGTTTCAGAGTCAGTTTACATTTTTGAGAACAAATTATTGGACCAATAAAATGCTTAGCTCTGTGATCAAATTCATAATGTATGGGCATTGTATACTGACCTCGTAAGAAACCCCACTATCAGTACCGGCATCCCAGGGAATCAGGTCCTGCACCACCTTCTGAGCCCAGCCACACTCTTTGGTGCACAAGTCCTCTGCAGACAGACCCACATTCCAGTCTGGACTGGGTCCCATCATGGTTAAGAAGGACATAAGGTGGCGGGACCGGTCCACTGAGAATTCAGCTGAAGGAGCAGCACGCCTGAAATAGAGAATGACCATAATTTGGAGGAGAATCATCCCAACTGGCAATGCCTGAGGCTACAGCGTACAAATGCTGTAACCTGAGGCTAAGCTGTGACATGCCTACAGTGAGATATGCGACCAAGACAAAGCCAAACCCAGTGATGCATTCATCTTCACCAAATTTCCTTGTTAAGTCACACATCTCTAATACTGGAAAATGTCACTTATCTTAAGATAAGCAGCTTTATTCTATGACTGAATGAACAAATGTTACATGGGATATACAAGGAATCAATCATTTTAATTAACAACAGAGAACCAGAAGTTATTTTGGATATAGTCGTCATCCGGTGATTAAATTATATATAAGTACTGATTTGCTTCATGTAAGAATTTGGGTCTGCTTTGAATTTGAGATACTGTTGCATTTTTTGGCAAGTTGCTCCAAACACTGCAGCAAATTCTTAAGAAGCTACAGTATAACAAAGGCATAACTAGGTGAATGCAGTCACATGTTTATTTTCATCTGAGCTCAGGGATTTCTTTCAGCCCAAACTCATTGTCTTACACACTTAAAAAAAAGCACTTTTTATAGCTTGACAAAATCTACTATAAAAGCACAACAGAAACATTTATTAAAATACCAATGTATGTTAGACTCTGCTGTGGCAGGATTATTTTTGTACCTTTCAGTTTTTGTTCCTGATCTTTTTCCATATAACTTATGTCACAAAACCAAAGAAAGGTTAAGAAAGAACTAGCTTCTGGCAAATATATACACTAGGGCTTTTTGTGAACTGAACAACTCTGTAGCTGATTACAATCCATCAACTGCATGTTTTGTTTTTTGTCTTCACAGATGAGATGCATGCTGTCTGTCACTGGCCTTTCATCTTGAGGCTAAAAGCTTCTTTACTTTCTTTCAGGTCGTGCATCAAGAGTAAAAGGCCGGTTTCTGATAGAAATACAATATTTTCTGTACTCTACAGGTATGGTTATGCTTAAGTGGTTCAAGCATGTTAATGATAAATTGGAGCTGCGGTTACAGGTTTCATGTTTGGATTGTTTTAACGATATTACTAAAGACAAAAGTAGAGAAAAGAAGAGTTATATCACAAAATGAATGCTGAGCTAAACGTGGAACTCTTCTTTAAATCATGCGAATCACGGCGAAAAGCAAATATCCATCCATCCATTTTCGTAAACATTTAATCCCTAATGGGTTCGTGGGGGGACTGGAGCCTAACAAGCAAATATGTATTTGATGTATTGAATAGTCACATTGTCAGTCTACATCTACTTCTATAGCACATTTGCTCTGCTCCGGGACTGAGGACCCGCACATGCACACACACACAGGCACAGACACACAGACCTCTGGCCATCTGTCTTGACCAGTGATTGACAGCTGAACTAATTACAAGAACTTTCCCAGCCAATACAAGATTAATTAGGAGTGGGAAGCTTCTTGTTGTAACACAAACAATTAGTTGGTGATTCCTCTTCAGCTGTCATCGGGCCCATATAAATCCATTTGATTTCAGCCAACTCAGCCCTGCCCTTGAACATTCTGCTAATGATGGCCTGGAAGGGTGTGAGGTAGCCCTTATCCCCTGGGAGCATACATTTTGCCTCTCTCGGGTTTCTGTGAGTTGTGCAACTCATCTATCTTCGAGAGTTACCTGGACTCTACAAAAACTTCAAGCATGAGGAAGGCTTGTAGTAAATGAAGAGAAGAATGATCACATTGATAATCCCAATGAAAAGAAATAAACTATGTGCAGAGGGCTGCAGGGTGGTGTGAAGGTTAGCCTTGTCATTTCAGAGAGAGCAACTTATCCTGGTTTGCATCCCGACTGGGGCAAAGTTTGAATGATCTCCCTCTGTTTGCATGAGTGAATGTGAGTGAGCGCCTGCCTCTGTGTGACCCTGGGATGGATTGGCATCCCTCTCATCCAGCTGCAGCTGGAATGGACTCCAACCACCCACATTCTGAATTAGATTCAGCAGATACAGAAAATGGATGAAATCATGCAGACATGATTAAGGCAACATGAGGGCATTAGCGAATATATGAATGAGTCATGGTGTTTACAATACGTGATACTTATGATTCACATTCTCATCGATCCGTCTGCACATATTGATTACACTCATTACATGAACAGATGGTTCATCAAGCTTTTCTTTCCTCTGGCAGAGACTTCAAAGAACACACTGATGCATTCATGCCCAACAAATAACTACAATAAATGAATTAGTAATAAAAGTTGTTCTTATCAAATGTCTTGTGCAAACTGGCAACTCTAATAGGTAAAAAACATTATTTTTGCAATAGATAGTGGAGAAAAATCTTACAATTTAGAGAGTGCTCTTTATTTCACATTTTTGACACCAAGTTTCCTTCTTTTAACTGTTAATAAGATACAAGGCACAGAGCACCAAAGTAGCTCTCTGGTTAGTAGAGAAATGCCTGACACAAGAGATAACAAGGAGGCAGCACTGGGTGTCATGGAAGCACTGAAGGTGCCAGGAAACTATTTCAGGGGGTGTTCAAATGATGAGAAGTTAATATGTATTAAACTAAAGAAAAAGAAATACTGACGTGACACATGAGTGGTGTAATAAAGAGTAGGAGGATAAAGTGCAACAAAGATAGTGGTGTTTTTTCTTCTAGAACAGGGTAAAATCTGACAAACAAATTTGTTGACACAACTGGGGACAAGGTTTGTCATAATATGCTTTTTTATACATTTATGAATGAAATAGATCTTAGATCATTCTAAATAATTGATGCACTGTGGAACCTTTGAAGGCTATATGATAAGTCTTGTGTTTGTCAAACAGCAGACTTAGACTTAGATCTAGAAAAGATTTATGTGAAAGAAATGCTAAACTCTATTTATCAATTTGCAAAAAATAAAGATGTGGATCAATTTCTATTGGACAGTGGCTACATTAAAAAGAAAATTGTGTGAGAAACCTTCGTTACCTGTATTTCAGTCCAGTATTAGTAATTCCACAGTATTATTATTTAAGTTGTTGAAGATCTGCCACTAAAAATAACTATCTGCATTTTCTCATACTCAGACCTGAATTTTTAAATATAAACTTCAATATACCGTACAGCAGTGCAACCAGCTGGCTTTGCAATAATTTCATGTGCTTGTGTCCATAATGTTCGCCAACCATAAGACTTTCTGTGGAGCCGGTCAATGTCCCAAATAAAATCAGATATCCCTGTCGGTCTTTTGCAGCATCATCTTTCCATATTTCTAACAGCTGCTTCAGTTTTCCTGCTTCTCAGACGAAGAAAAGGAGCCGTTCTTTGTGTGTGTGTGTGTGTGTGTGTGTGTGTCTGTGTGTGTGTAATTTGGTCACCACCCCTGTCTCTTCCTGTTAAAACAGGGTTATTCCACAATAGCTGAGTTCATCATAGAAAAGCACAACCTTTTATTTTTCTGATATCAAATCTAAAAAGCAATTGCACTGGTTAATTTTAAAACAATATTTTAAGCTGACAAAGTAATGACAGGGTAACACAACAGGGGACATTCATCCAAGATGCAATTCCAGATAAAAAAATTTGCTGTCTTTTGCTTTGTCTCGCTTTTGTGCAATGGAGTAAACATTCATATTAAGTCCAATTGAATTAAAGAATCTTTAAAATAATGCTGGGCATAAATAGAAATGCAATCTGCATTGTGAATCTCTCTTTTACTACTGAAATCCAATGCGCTATTCTGCAATACTTTCTGATAAATAGGACAAATAAGTGCCATAGACACTTAGGTGGCAGGAAGCTTTCATTATTCATGGTTGCTGACTGAGAAACCAACATTACTTCAGGATTAGGGTCATTTAACATCAAATAATTAGTTTTATGCCTCTTGATCTGATTTTGTATTCCTACCCCATGAAAATAAATAATTTGACTTAATAGGGTTATTAAGTCATGAACATTGAAATACTTAGACACTGTGGGGATTGCTCATTTAACAAAAGAATGTATTTTATCACACAGTGATGCTAAAGTGGCTGTCGTGTTAATTGATTACTTCATGGTTAGGTCAGTTAGTTGAAAAGGGTATTATGCATTACTTGAATTAGATTCAATTACGGCATATCAAACCACACATCATGATGATTCTTCACTGTTGTATGTACTCATTGTTTAATTTAGATATGTTATGAATCCTCTTTGTGCTCTGTTACCTTAAATGTGATTCATTCAAATTTGGAAACAAGCTGGAAAATATATGTCAGTACAAAAATGGAACATGAATAGATAAGTGGAATCTAGTTTAAAAAAGAGGTACATGGATATTTAGACATTCAATTCTAATCAGTAATAACCTCATTCTATCTACTAGTATCAAACTCTTGCTAGATTTGAGATGTGGTTACAATCCCCCCAAAAAGTTTAACCAGTGTTATTTTTGTGAAAATTTGGAACATGGACATACAACTAACAGTTTTTGCCAACACAAATACACTAAATGTGTAAACTTACTGACATAGATATGTATTTTTTACACAGCTCATATGAAGTGTGACTGAAGTCTCAAAATCCTCATATGACATTTGATTTTATAGGTTTTCCATTTGGAAATAGAAAAAAATTTACTGTATCCTCTCTCCTTCAGACTTTCTTGGCATATACTCTTCCATCTAATTATTCATACAACTATGCATTTCCTTTTCTTATGCCAAACTTAGGTTACCGACCCCACACACTGACATTTTCTATATGAACTGTGAGAAATTATTAATTAGTTGTTAAAACGGTACACATTTACCTAATTAGTTCTGGTGGACATGATGGCTTCTATAACTGGTTGTTTTCTCTGCTTTGGAGACTAATATTATGGCCTCACAGAGCACCCGTTCTTGAAGAAACAACACAGCGCTCACCACTGATGTTTCTATATACAAGCTGAGTCTGAAATGTTCTTGTTTTCCCTCATGAATAAGAAATTGTTTGGCTCACATGAACTTCGGAATAAATTAATGTGCACACTGTTAGCTGGTACAGATGGAAGTTTGGGTGCAACACTGGGTTCTCACCAATCAGAAAACTTGGGGTTGCTGCTCAAAAGAATCTATCATGAAGAAAATCACAATTATTTCAGAACGATTTTCTGGCTTATATTCCCATAGTTTCTTCCAATTATTGCTAAACATTGAAAAAAAAATCACCATTCAGTAAATATGATTTCTTATTTAATATATTTGGATGCATATATAAACAAGATAGCATATGGAACATTTTTGTAATCCAATGATTTGATTAGATTTAGGCCAAAATAATCAAATTAAAATAAGGCAGCTGCTGTGAATATAAACAAGCCAAAATGAACCTTCCAGCACTATGCCAGCAGGCAAATAAAGAATAAAAATGTTCACTGACTGCGAGACGTCATTGACAAATTCCATTACAACCTCCTTATAACTCTGTTATAGGTGGTGTCACGTCTGGTGTCTCGTCATGTCCTGATTACCAATTGTGTGCACCTGGGGTTCCCCTCCCTCGTGTGTTTAAATAGTCCTCGTTTCCCCTTGTCTGGTGCGGGGTCGTTCTGTCAGGGGGGGTGGGTTCTGACGGGAGGACTCAGGTGCGGAGATGAGGGGAACAAGGTTTATTGAACAAAAACAGGGTGAATGTCCAGACAAAGTACAAAACAAAGCTGTGGCAAACTGTGGGCAAAGTATCAAAGCAAGCAAACAAGACTGTGGAAAAACTATGACAAAGTAACAAAACAAAGATTAACAAGACCATGACAAAACGTGACTATGACTGTGGCTGTGGCAGAACTATGACGAAACAAACCTGGCGAGGGGGTGACGACGGACGAAAGGACAAGAGACAAGACAAGAAGACAAGAACGACCCCGCACCAGACAAGGGGAAACGAGGACTATTTAAACACACGAGGGAGGGGAACCCCAGGTGCACACAATTGGTAATCAGGACATGACGAGACACCAGACGTGACAGGTGGTGTGCAGTTGCTACAGCACACCACCGCCTGGAGGGAGCTGTGAGCCTTTGGCTGCAAAATCTGTGCATATAGATTATCTGGTAAACTCAATAGAACAGCGATACGTTGATATGACTATGAATTACAGTTACTTGCGAAAACTTTAATAGTAAAATTACAGTGTTTGGTTGTGTTTGGTTATCGCCCATAAGTGGTTATTTTTTGTTATAAAGGGTGATGTCAATCACAGTGAGGAACATCACTGATTCAATTTTCCTCAGGAACTTCAGGTACAATGGGTACTAACCTTTTAACTCAAAGAAAAAAAATACAATAATGAGGTGGCAATAGTTAATCCAGAAACATTCATACAGAAAATGCCGGTCCCTTGATTCACAAATGTCCCTCAATCAATTATTACCTACAGACAATCGAAGTTGATAAAATTCATAACATTTGCAAAACCAGCAACTCATCCAGTATTACACATGTGATGCAGAGGTATTGTATTTGACTTACACATTAAGGGGCTGCCAGGCTGGCCACTGTGCTTTCATTTTGATGACTGTGAGGACGTCATCACCCTTCAAGAAAGAGACAAAAGGAAAATAAGAACTGTAGGCTGAAACAATCCACTGTACAATACTCTTTTGGGCAAAACCCAAATTTGTGGCATTTCACTTCAGAAAATCTGAAAGCAGATAGAAAGCATCATGCACTAATCACACCTCCGATTCAATGACGTAACTGATGGGCTGAGCTGTGTTAACACTTCAAATCTTATTAATTCTGTAACAGTGTTGTACGCTAAAGATAGCTTTGCACCTATAAATCAGCACTTCATGTTAAATATAGCAATACAATAACAACAAATAAAAACCATTTAGCACAAGGAGTCATTCTGCAGAAAGAAACCTCTGGTCCTGCTTCTTAAAATTCACACAATGGAAAAGTGTTCAGTTTATCCTCCTGCAAAAAAAAACACAATGTCGATTATCTGTGACCAGAATACTGTCTAAGCGATTGTTCCAGAAAGAGGGCAATAGATAAAACCTCTTGCTGTGTTTTTGCAAAGCCTCCTCTATTTAAAATACAACATCGGCTTTGACCATCCAATCTACTTGGTAGGAGGTGAACAGAGAAAAATTGAGAATACCAGTCTAAGAAGCCTAGTTCCAGCAACTACTGCAGTAAGACCTTGGGAAAGCCCATTTTTCACAACCTACAGTGTGCAGGACCAACGCAATGACAATGATCACAACTGAGCGAGCCAACAAAGCCCACAATTTATGCTATTGGCTCCCTTTTCGCACAGCAGATTGAACTGTCAAGAAAAGGCTGCTAACTGCTAAGAAGGACACATTTTATTTTCTCAACCTGCAACCTGAGAAACTTCAAGGCATTTTTTTTTTCATTCCTTCCTTTTTAGTCTTTGATTCTGAAGCTTAACAAAATATCAAACCTGGAATGATTTTAAGAAGCAGCCTCTGTTTTTCCTGTTTTTTCTCAGATTTAAATTCCAACCTCAAATCCACTTATCACTAATTTTCTATTGTCGTAACCACAGTGAAAAAAATAAAAAATAAAAACTGAACAGAGGAGCTATAATCACAAGATGTTTTTGAACTGATTTGAAAAATTCATAGGCTTTAAATTAAACCTTTATAAATAAGCTGTGTTTATCCATTACCCAAAAATATTCTAATGCAAAAGACAGTGATACAACAGAGAAAGAATCATCTTTTTAGGTTAAATTTTGTATAAAATTTTTCAAATTGTTATTGCATGGTGGTATTAACTAACTTTAGGGGGAAATATACAACAGACAAGCTTTAGATTACGTAAGCATCCATTTTCCATTCATTTTCCATATCATATCATTCTATCTCAGGGTCATGAGGGGACTGGAGCTTATCCCGGCTGACATTGACTGAGAAGCTGGGTAAAACCTGTGCAAGTCGTTGGTCCATCACACAGCCACACACACAAACAAACAGCCATGCACGCTAACACTAACTCTGGGGTGAAGCCAGAATAACCAGAGGGAATCGATGTATACACAGAGAGAAAGTGCAAACACCACACAGCAAGGCCTCCAGCCAGCATTCAGACTGGGAACCTCCCTGCTGTGAGACAATGGTGACAGAATCTCAGGATTCCATATCTATTTCTCAATCACATCTCAGTCACATTTCTCAAGTCCGACTGTGACTGAATTTCCTTTTTATCTGTGTTTTTATGCCGTATTCTTTTCTTTTTTCACTCAATGCTCTTGTTAAGATCTTCAATCTGCACTTCTTCTCCTTTCAGTTCACTTCCACATCAGGGGAGGTGGTACGATATAAACAACTAGAACCATCTTTGTTTTCTGCATGAAACCCAGAGTTTACATTTCAAAACATCTTTTGATTTATTTGATTTTTTTTGTCAAGAAGCATGTTCTTTAATTAATATCTTCTGCTGTGAAGAAAATAAATTAATGTTTTTATACCTTCAGTCAGTTGGTTTTGTTTTAGAGCGAGATAGCTTTCTTTTGGTCAACTTTAATTACTTATAAAACTCCTTAGACTTGTACCATAATTGTCTTTTCCATCCCCTGCTTCTACATATGCATATGTCAAGGGCAAACAGTGTGAGATCGAACATCACAAGTTGTTCTTGTCGTGCTTAAATTGAATATATTTCCACTAATAACAGGGAAGCTGAACCCTGTCAAGTAATATGACTCAGCCGCTGCTTTTCTTATAAAATACACACAGATATTTTTTTCTGCCTGTCATTTTCTGTTGCTAATTAAATACCAGAAAAGAAAATCTGGACCTCTCTTTTACTTGAAAGTTCGCACGAAAGATCAAGTCTCCATGCACTTTGGAATGGTCTCCTTCTAATTTATGTACATCAGCACAAGACACTTTTTATTTCAATTCAATTTAAGTTCAATGATTCAACTCAAGCTGCTTCTCATTTTCAGTAAAATACAAGTTTACAAAATAGAAGATTGCCTGACAAAGTGCATTAACTTAATCCTGTTTGCGAATGAGAAAAAAGGACCTCTGCTGATGTTAAGATAAAAAACAGATGTAGTTTTCTGATTTTCAAAAGAAGCTCAAAATTAAGCCATTGAATTTATCTAGATGTATTTCATTTTGAACACCATTTATTTCCTTCGATATAATTTGTGACAAACTGCTGTTCAACATCGGTCCCGTCCAGCTGGAGTAAGTCCTAAGTAAAGTGTGACAGATTAAATTCTTTAAGAATACATCAAACAATACATCTTCTCCCTAAAGTGAAGTATTTTTGTGTTAGGGGAACAGTTCTCATTGCCAGAAAGCACTGCTTTAATTAATTTCCTGTCACAGGTTTTCCAGTTTTATAAGTTCTATGTAATGATCAAATTAATTAGCAAATTTCCTGTCAATTTTTACCAGTAAACCCATGACCATCATGTCATTAAGAACTATGGGCCACTCGCTTTTAAATCTGGAAGCATCAAAAAGCTCTGTGGTTTATCATTTCCTAAATAAATGGTTTAAATACAGTATATACGTGGGTGTGTGTGTGCGTGTGTGTGTGTGTGTGTGTGTCCGTGTGTGTGATAACTTAGAAGGATATTAGCGATGACAGGTGATTAATGTAATTTGCGGTCACGTTGTGACAGTTTGTCCCAGAGTTACAGAATACAGATTCATGATAGAACCACCATTTGTCATTCCCATCTATTAAAGATGTTTCTGTTATTCAACATGCATAGAAAAGTAAACGGTAAACAGAATTATCAGAAGATGGTGCATCAGTCATTTAGAATTTTAATCTTAACCCTCTCAGATACTTACACCATGAGCCTGAATTGAACCCACTGTCAGAGTCCTCTGAAGCCACAAGGCCAAGTCTCTCCTGCTGGGGTAGAATTGACCTGTCGTGCTCCCTCACATTGTGGATATCAGCCATGAAATTGGATCACAGCGAGCTGAGGGTAAAGTCTTTAAATACTGCCTCAGCGAGGTAATAGCCGAGTAGTGCATGGTTCTCCCACTGGCACAGAAAACCTTAGCAACCTTCACATCTTTTCCTTTTTCATCCATTACCAGGACAACTGTGCACGGTGCTTGTTCTTCAGGCCCATAGGGAATCTTTCTGCTTCTCAGTGAATGCTTTTATTCACGGTGAGAAATTGCCACATCTTAATTGAGCATTTAGTAAAATATATAGGTTAGTGCAATTCCATGTATTTGTTTGCGATAACCTGCTTTTGATAATGTGCTGTGAGTCAGTTTTTTCTCCTGTTTATTTGACTTACAGCCAACTGGTACTGAGGAAGTCTTCATGCCAAAACTTTGTGAGGAAGTTTTCTGTGGGCCACAAAATGTATCCGTCTCGTTTTCTGTGGGTCCCCCTTATGCTGAAAAAGCACATGGTGGTGGGTTCTTTTAAATTTATGAGGTCCAGATTAGAACCCCTTTCAAAGGCCCCTGTACATTTCACTTAATGTTCCATCAGACTGCCATGTGCACGCAGGCTGGCCTTTGAAATATGTGCTGATAACAAGATGGAGCAAAATAGCCTCCTGTTTAGATCAGAGTCTCATTTACACAATTTCCTGAAGGACTCTCTGTTTAATTCTGTCAGACCACAGGACAACTTCAGCTCCTGCATGCATCTCTTTAGAGACTTGCATGAACATAAAAGGCTTTCTTTGGCTGCTGATCCATTTGGTTAATATCATAAACACGGTCACAAAACTCAATTACATAATAAAGAAAAAGCTTAGTGGAGTCCTTTCCAGAACAGAGAACTGCTTGTATCCATTAGAGAAGACACGTCGTGCAGTGCAGATGACACTCACTCTCATGTTGGGGGGAAAGGATCCACATTGCATGAATAATTTCCATCTAGTCCTGACAAGCGCATTGAACCTTCATTTATGATGCTTGATTTAGCATGTGTAATTCCCTTTCAGACAGGAAACCGCATTTAAACTGCATTTAAATGGTTGGGAACAGAGTTACAGTGTTAATATGGTTTAATATTGTCTACTTGCTCCACTGACATTTGTATTAGTTTAATGTGAGTATACTCAGGAGGGAGTTTCTCAGAAGAGATTTTTATGTGCTTTCAGACTGCAGGACAAACAATCAGAAACCTGCTACTATAAATCCTATGGCTAAAATAAAGATGTTGTTAAAGTTTAATTTAAACATTACGTAGAATTTTCATATTGATACTCAATATAGTAAAAACTGTTTATGCCAAATAGTTAGTCTAATAAAAAATAATGTTTCATTATAATACTCATGCAAATTTGTAAAAGTTTTCTAAAGCCTTTTGTGCAAATTGCAGGAACCATGATCTTTAGCAGTGGTTAATCCTTATGGCTTTTCTTTAACTAATTCCAATTCTTTAGCAAGACTCTGGCATAGTTCTTCTTCTGTGTTTCCACACGACTGATAAGACACAAACCAACACCTGCAACAAATCTGTTGTCTACACTTCTCATTTCCAACACTGAGGCAATTCCCCATGATTTAAGAGATTACATCACCACTGGCAAAAACTGAAAAATTGTCCACTATCTTCCAGTGCA